GGGCAAATGGTACATAAACTCATTCTTCCTTTCTGTTTTGTGTTTGTGGTTGTTTGCTTTTTGTTTTGTTTTGTTCTCCTCTTGATGACTTGAAGAAATATGGGTACAGTGAGTTGGAGCCCAGATCAAGGCCTGTGGTAACAATTTGCCAATTCTACAAATAAGCAGAAACACTGGGGGTCTGGGGATTTAGTTCAGTGGTACAGCGCCTGCCTGGCAAGCGCAAGGTCGTGAGTTCGATTCCTGACACTGGGAAAAAAAAAAAAAAGAAACATCGCACCTTAAACTTACCCACTGTGTTTGACTTTGTGCATTTGAATTTTGAATAACAAAAATTGTTTGACTTGTGCAAAGTGAAGAACTACAATAATCAAGCTCATCAATCAGGCAATGTTGGCATGGAATGTGTCAATAGAATCCATGTTCTTTTCTATGACAAGTGAAGAATTGCAAGCACTCAATCTGAAAGTTAAGCAAATGGCAGATACGTTTACTGAAGATCATGAGAAGTTGTTTTCAGGGCAAGTCCGTGCTAACAAAAGTCAGGCACAGACAGAAAAGGTGCTAGGGTAACAGAAAAGGCTCAGCATATGGCAGAAGCAGCAGAGACACATGAATAAATCAAGCTTTTGGAATATAAAGTACAGGTACCTCAGTTTAGGTGCCTCATCCTGAATCTGGGTGTTACAGAGAGGAATGATTGACAGGGTGCTATTTTAGCTCAGGGCCTATCGGCACGCATGCTCATCCCAGAATTCCTACTGATCTTAATTAATGTAGTGTGTATTTATGAACTCTTAATGAAGTTGCAGTGGGCTGAAGGTAACTGAAGTTGAGGTTGGGAGATCCAAAGTGCAATTACTGTAGCCTAGAAAGCATCAGGGATCTCCAGAGCTTTTGTTATTTTATTTGCCACCTCCCTTAGGACTGTAGAAGGCAGAATGACCCTAGGGTGCTTGCTGTTCAAATATAAACAGCTCCATTGTTTCTAAGGATGCCTGATAATGGTGCACCTCACGGTGCCTGATAATATTAGAGCTACATCTTCTTGGTCTGAAAAAAGATTCAGCTCTGCACCTTCTCCTAGGGTGACTTCATTGAGCAGAAGGCCACCCTCACCTGCCCTTGAAACAAATTTTCTTGCTCTCCTTCCTGCCTGAAGAAAAAGTGAAAACTATATTTCTGGGACCTGAAGCCACAAAATGAGTCTACCTTCTTTCTATCCTAATATCATCCAACCCTTTAGGCTTCAAATTGTGACATAAATGGGCGTAGTGGCACATCCCTGCAATCCCAGCATTCCCAGGAGACTAGGGCAGAAGGATCACTGTGAGTTCAAGGCCAGCCTGAGCTACATAAACCTTGTCTCAAGAAGACAGAAAGAACAAAACACAAATTGTGGTATAAAATTGTGCAGTATGTCTTCTGCTTAGTGACCACCATGTGACACTGTGACCTGGAAAGGAACATGTGGTTAACACAGTCTCAAACCCTGTGACTTCCTCGTAGCTTGGAACCTCACTAATCATTTCCTCATGAGAAGTCTCTCATACCTTAGTTTCCACAAAAATAATGTTTTGTTTCTCTCGGGTAAATGGAGGCATGAGGCAACACCCAGAGACCGAGGCTGTGGAAAAGATCAGATTTTATGTACGTGCATACAGGCAGGCTGACATCGCAGTGATATCAGCAGCTATCTGGAGGGGAGGACTATAGAGAGAGTTCAGAGTTGGAGGTCACAGTATCACAGGATCTGGATGTAATGTTTAAAGTCAAAATTGCAGAGACAGTCAGCCCAGTGTGTAGACAGAACTGGTGCCAAGATGATTTCAAGTCCAGTCCTCAGGTCTTGTATGTCCTTTGACTCTTATTTGCAGAGGGAAAGCCACTGTCAGTGGTGGAGAGTCTGTCCTTTGTAGTGGGCAGCCCAGGCCTCTCTCAGGTCCCTCTCAGGCCAGGCCCTGCAGTTTTACACACCTCTCTGCTCTTCCTTCCCATCTTCTTTAAGCAAAGGATAAAGAACTCATGCTCTTTAAACATGTGTGTCCTAAATTTCCATACTTTACCTAGTCCTCACAAACTGCCATTTTAATAGTGTAGATCTGTTACTATGGTTTGAGGTATGTACTGTGCATATTGCTGGTTTACTCTTAAAATATGGGCAGGACAGTCTTAACCATCTCATTAGTTGTTCCCACTTTGAAGTCTGATAGTATCTCAAACCCAGTAATATAACTGCATCCCAAGTTTCCTTCCAAATGCCTGCACTATTGTTATGATTTATACCTAAAATATCCCCCATCAACTTCCACCTAGTTCTCAAGTTCTTGCCAGGTTCTTATTTCCCACAGCAAGCAGTGCGGAATGACCATATGAATGTCTAAAAGAAAGGTTGAAAGGTAGAGCTTCCCGATTGTTGGGCAGGGGTTCCATCAGGTGGATACCACACTTGTTTAAATCCCGGGGCCTTTTATACAGTTTCTGACACTCATGTACCTGACAGTATCCGGGGATGCTCCTGGTTGCAAGTAGACCTTTGGTGTCTGACTGCAAGCTGCTTCATTTGCATTTCACTTCCTCCAGGTTCTCTCCCACTTGTTTAGGGACTGTCTTTGTTCATTGCATTCCTTTAGGCCCTGATAGTCAGTTTGCTTAATTACTTGTGTGTTAACTCATGTAAGCCTGGACTTAGTTTACTTTAAGCTCACTCTTCAGGACCTGCTCCCATCTGCCTTACTTCCCCTATATCAGAGGTGGGGCTTTTGGAAGCTAACTGGATCACGGGAGCACTATCCTCATCAGTGAATGAAGCCATTGGCAAGTTCATAGCTGAATATAGTGCTGGGAGGTTGGGCATGGCTGGAAGTAGATCACTAGGAGTGTGACCTGGAAGGACAAGTTTTTGTTTCCTGTTCCTCCCTTTTCTCTCTGCTTCTGGCTGCCTTAAAGTGAGCAGATGCCTTCTATCACGCTGTTTGTGTCCTGCATTCAGCCAACCAGAGCCTGAATCACTGAAACTGTGACCTAAGTAAGTCATGGGTATTGGATCTTTTGTCCCAGCAATAGGGAAAATGATTCATTCAACTCTCAATAGCCTAAAGTGGAAACATTCTTAAAATACAGTAATCCCTTCCTTTCACCCCTCTAGCATCTATTTAGGCATCAAACACTGCCTAATATATATTTTTTGAACTTTGGTAAAACCTCCTCCTTTCTAATTTTACTAAACACTATGACAGTATGTCACTTGAAAATTGCACTAGTTTAGTCTTGAATTGTCACTAAAATAATTTCTTTGCCTGTCTCTCTGATCCTACAAGCCACTCTTTAAATTATTACTAATTTAGTCTCTCTAAACTAACCTTATGGTGTCTTTCATATACTTCACATTATATCTTACTTTATGTCATCCTCCATTATAAAATCTAACATCTTCTTCACGGTATGTGACTTCATACCAACGACTATTTTTCAACTATTCTTGGTGTGATCAGTTTGGGTAACACTAGTTGTTATAACATATTTTTCAGTAGAAAATTATTTTTGCCTTTTATTCATTCTCAAGGTGGTATTACTAAGGACCTAACCAGAAGCCTGAATCTGAGCCTTGATTATCTGAATTTGTTTACTTGCCTGCCATAAAGAGCAGAAGAAAAGCCCATAAAATAGGGAAATAAATTTATTTACAACTTGGCAAAGAAAGAGGAGTAGCTAATACTTTACCACATAAATGCAGACTTTGAGTTTGTGGTAGGCCAGCAATGGTTTATAATGCACCAAGATATTTTCTAAATATTTAGAAATATTAGATATTTTTAGAGATATTAGATATATTTCTAAATACTAGATATTTTCTAAAAAGACAGTACTTTTTCCAGACAATAAAATTAAAGTGAAAACACATAAGATAACAACGAATAAAAGCTGTAAAATGTCTCAAAAGCCATGCAAAAATGAAAATGTACTGTACATCAAGTAAGATTTCAACAGGAAAGGAAGCAAAAGGCAGATGTGAACTGATTTCGCAAGACACAGGAAGTTTGTAAAGAGAAATATGTCCCATTAAGGATATCCGGTATGTTCCAGAAACTCCAGGAAGAATGGGCATGTTGTCATGTCAAATAAAGGTGATAAGATGACAATTAAAATTAAAATGTTGAATGGCTGAAAATCTACATGCAGAAGCGAGTGATTCACCTTCAGTCACTTCTCCCATGGACACCACCCTAAGAAAGTGACTTGAGATTTCCTCTATGGAAAGGTGATCAGAAAAGTCTTTGGATTTAAAAAAAAAAAAACAACGCAATATTCATCCAGGAAGGAGAGGTTGTAAAATAATTGTGACAGTTGAAAGTGAAAGCTGCTGGATATCCAGTCTTCCTGCTTCTCTGAAACAGATGCTCAGGCCTGAAGTAAAAGTTCATGGTTTCCATACTAAACAGATGTTTTATTCCCATTTCCTTAAGCTTCATAAAAACCACATGAAGTGGATTGTATTACCACTCCCATGTAAATAGTAAAAAAATAAAAAGACCTACAGAGATCATCAGGTTTCACAAGGTCACAGACAGGGTGCGCTAAAGAGAAAGGATTTAAAACGGGCTGGCTTCTTTTTCATCTCGTTATTCCTTATTTACTATTTCTCTCTCCACCTCCGTCCTTCCCCATTCTCTCTGTAATCTCCTCCCCCCCTCAACTGTCTCTGTACACTTCAGATGTGTCCCTCGGTGAGCAGGATGTCGGGGAACAATCAGGAAGTGGAAAAAGTAGCTTTCGCTTCTTTTCAGCATGCATGGATGCATTGTTTGAAAGATCACCTGTTACTTTTGTAAAAAATTAATAATAATAATAATGAGTGAATAAGTATCTACTGAATGCTTCTGTTATATCTGAAGTAAATCTGGTCCATTAAACTTCTAAAATACACTTAAAACATCATGTGCTGGAAAAAGGAAGAGAGCAAGAAATAAAAGGCATCATAAAAAAAAAAAAAAGGAAACCTCAAGGACGGTTAGTCATTTGTATATTATCTAAGTCACATAAGTCTGAGGGATGGAGGTCAAGGTGAGATGAAGCAAGTTTTCTGACAAGGCTCCTCTGCAGCTGATGAGTCCCAGGACTGGGGAGACGCACGTCTCAATCCGTCTCTCACCACAGGACAGACGTCTCCGGGGACTCCCCAAGAGCAGGAGGGCAGGCAGGGACAGCAGCTCCTCCCCCTGACAGAGACCCCAGGCGCCCGTACGCCGGGAGGGAAGGAAGTGGACTCATCGCCCGGGATCCAGGAAACGAAAGGAAACCTAAGCCGCGGCAGCGTCGCCGCCAGTCCCTCAGAGGCTCCTCTCCAGTGGGGTGCGGATCTCGGTGCCTCCCGCGGGCTCAGGGGAGTGGATTCCCGGCCGCGGGTCTCAGGGGGCTGCGCGAGGACCGCGGGGGCAGCAGGTGAGCCAGCTGCGTTCTCTTCTCTCAGGGAAAGAACTGGGGGCCTCCGTGGGTCCCCAGGAGGAAGCTGGGGATGCAGGCAGCTCCTGAGCTGAGCAGGAGCCTGAGGATACTGTTTGCTGTGGAGGTGGCAGGTGTGTGGTGGACCTTGGGGCCAGGCGTCCTAGAGACTGGACAAGTGCCGGCTGTGGAGCGTGGACCCAGCGGGACACCTGGCCCACCTGGAAACCATGCTAGTGGCAAGGTGTGTCCTGCCTGGAAAGACGTGGCAGGGCTCTGCTTCCACTTAGCTATGGAGCTTTGGAGCTCAAAGGACAGCTCCAAATGCTGGGCGGAAGCTGGGCTCCCCGGTTTGTGCCCACACAGTAAGGTATTAGAAGAAACTAACAAAGCCTACTAGATGTCATTGAAAGTGAAGTATTAATTGGAATTACGATGGCAATACAAACTATGTGGGATCTGCTAGAATACCAGAGGTATAGGAAAGGCAGAGCAGGCAGAGGGCACAGTGATGAGGTGCTGGGTCCAGCTGCCTCAGTTTGGACTCTGTGTCCACTACTTGCCTTCTTTGCACCCTGACCAGGTGTCTACACAGCTTGCCTTATCTTTAAAATTGTGTAATTATTACAAGACAGAGAGGAGTTAAACCTGTGTGTAGTAAGTTAAGTTGTTAGCATAGTACCTGATAAGAAAGGAATTATTTAATGAAAGTTAAAAATGTTTATTTCATATATCGAAGGGCTTCCTGGCTGCTTCTAGCTCACCACCTGGTTATTGTGTGGTTTATTTTATGGACTGTTGCTCCTGATAATGTGAGTGTGGCCTCTCCCCAGTTCCAGAACAGTCATTTTTGCTTGCGGTTTAGCAACTGCAGATACCTGGTTAGTACAAGAGACACTCACACAGTGAGAAGGGTTATGCAGGTCAGGGTGCTACGCGTCTAGCCCAAATTTCCCTAACAGCACAGCATTCCCTTCAGGCCACCCTTGGGATGTAACAGTTGTAGGACCTGAACAACAGTAACACAAAGAAAAACTCACAGGGAAGTTAAAAAATTATTGAAAGACAAATGCAGTGAATTTCATAGAGAAGAGGCATGTAAAATGGGTGGGTTGTAAAAGACTTGTACAGTCTTAGCTTAGACGGGAAGAGACATTCAGATATGTGAACTGGCTACCCCATATCTCTCCAAGTTCATCTCTAGGGATCTCTCCTTCCTGTGCTCTGTAATCTCCAGATCGTTCCTTTTCTTCGCTGAATCAAGGTGTGTTTAGCCTCAGGACTCATACTTGTGAAGTTCTCCGCGTTTACATGCACTTCACAGGCCCTACAGCACGTACACCTCACTCTGTGTGGTCTTGCTGACTTTACACATTTTTCTATTGAGATCTGAGTATTCTGACAGCGCCACTGCCCCTACAGTCTCAGTCACTCTTCACAAAGTCCTTTCTTATTGCATAATTATTTTTACTTACAGTACTTAGGCATATTTTCAGAAATATATTTCATTGCGTTGTTTGTTTCCGGGAGTACCCTGCACAGTAGGGTGCTGCAGTATGTGATGGAGAGCCTTATCTGCACTGTATCTTCACTCCTTACAATCCACAAATGTTTTACTAAGTGAATATTTATACAAGCAGTATTTACATGGATGTGCACATGTGTACACGCTTACGAACACATACAAGACAGTTCTACACTGAATAGTTCTCAAATTAAAAGCCAGCACTTTAGCTAAGTACACACATTTCTCATTTAATGACTGAGTTCTGTTTCACAAGGAGGTCCTTAAATGAACTGGTTGCTAATTGAAGAATTGTATACAGGGTATACATTACAATACTCAGGACAAAGAAATGGTCCAAGGATGCTCCAATTTGAAGACTTTGCTTTTTTGTGCATAATTCTTACATACAGTGCTATAATGTATAAGAGAACATAAAACTCCAGTACTATACTGTACAATACAATCAGCAAAAATTACAGTATCATATAAACAATATATACTGTACAAAAAAGGATATTGAAGCTTTATAAACAAGATATGCAGAACTGCACAAATAAAATGACAGGTGGTAAGTTCCAAGGCTGGGTCCTAAGTCCAAACAGTCAGTAAGCAGATGGGTTATTAAATAAGGAATATCTGTAGTAACAATTGTTCTTTTAATTTTCCAAGTTTTGTCTTAATAAATGCTAGGAAAATCCAAGTGAAATAGGGACATGAATGTAAAAGATATGAATCATGAATTACCTTAATGCAGCTAGTTAGTGACCTGTGTGTTGTTAGATATCCATTTTATCTTATGCAGTACTTTTCTCATTTATGAGCTGAAAAAAAAACAACTTAAAATTGTGAAGGAGCCTTGGGTTGTCTATAAAGGCCTTTCAGAATACCACATCCTTCAAATGAGCACAGCTAACTTCCAAGATCAGCTTTCCAACTTTTGTCTCTTTGGTTTATTAGTTTGGTGAAATATATCACTACTACTTCATTTTATTCCAGTTGATGTATGATCTATACTTTTCCTCAGGTTCACTGTCCCATCCCAAACTGATTCTAAGTACATTTGTTTTTTATCTTCAACCTCAAGTACAGAAGCGTGTGATAATAGAAGACTTCCAGTTACAAGATACATTGTCTTTCTGTTCAGCCTCAGTCAGAGCACTCTCACTCATTTATTACAGGTATGCGCACTGGTCTGGTCAAAAGCTCACTTGCATCCATTTGTGTAAATGCAAATATTTTTACTGGGCTTGATGGTTATGGAAACCACAATCGAAGATGAAATGTTTTTTCTTTAGATAATAACTAAAGTGCACACAATTTACCTAAAAACATAATGGGAAATGCTTGAAAATTATTTGATTTGTAACAACACATATTGTCGTATCCCCTTGACTTACTCAAATTTCTTCTTAGTGTCTCAATTTACTTATTAGTAGGAAGTTAGAGACCTAGCATTATGGTGTTTGTTTCTAAAGCAGCAGTGTCTTGCTAAAATAGTTCAAAGTGTATATTTCTATTTGGGGGGGTTATGAAGAATGTGAACTAGTCTTTGGGATGAATAGGAAGGGAGGAGAGATTTGTTCTTCAAAAATTAATAAATTCTCATAAACAATGCAGATCTAGATAATGTTCCTTTAACATATAGTATAGTAGGTTTATGATCTCTGAGAAATACCTTTTGAAAGCAATGAGCAGAATCTTAGGATCTTGAGAGAGAGGTCAAACAGCTTTTACTGTCATATGAATTGTGAGGATGTAACTGGAAATTACCACACTATTTTTCTCCTAATAAGAATATTTTGCAATTATTACATAGCCTATGCCAGCAATTTAGTATTGTTGCAAGAGTAACTTTAACAGATGTACTTTTGAAGTACGTGATGCCTCAATTTTCTCCGAAGTTTTTGTGTAACATGGGAATAAAGATGTAAGAACTAGATTGTATTTTCTAGTTCCATGATTCCCATGTTACAATATATAGTATGACTATATTACAGACTGTCTTAGTTCCTTTACTCCCTCTGAGGCAAAATACCCAACACCCAAAGATAAAGGAAGAATGATTATTTGACTCACAGTTTTGAAGGTTTCCATCCATCACTGGGTGGATCCAAGCCAGGGTGAAATCACAGAGCCGAAACAGTTCATGGTAGACAGAAGGTAGCAAAACAACAAGAGACAACCACAGCTCTTTCTATCCCTTATATCTCATCTGGGCATTTAGGACAGGTAGCACTCACACCCTTAATCTTAGTGCTCTTGATCCTAGTGTTCCACCATGAATCAATACCATCATCACATATTTTATATCCATCCACCTCTGAAAAAGCCCCACCTATGACCACATGAAGCTTTGGGTGGACATCTAAACACAAGCCATAACATTCTACCCCTCATCCCCCATAGACTCATGCACATCCCTTTATGCAAAAGGCATTTAGTCCATCTCCAAGAGTTGCCAGAGTCCTAACAGTTTGAGCATTGCTGAAAAATCAAAGTCCAAAGTGTCCTCTGAGATTTACGGCAAACCCTTAGCCACAAGCCCCTGTACAAATGAAAAGAAAGTTAAACACTGCTGACTTTCAATGGAGCAAGCTGGACATATCTGTTCCAAAAGTTACAAACAGAGGGATAGCAAGGAATGGGAAAAAAGCAAGACCAAAATCCAGCAGGGTAAACATTAAATCCCACAGTTCCACTTCCAGCATCCTTGGCAATCCGTGGCAAATTGTTAACTCCGTGGCTGGGGTGGCTCTGCCTGTATACCACATCTGGTGGTGGTAGCTCCCCTGGCTTCTCTCTGGGGCTGGCTCTGCTCCCTCTTTGCAGTTTTCCTCAGACAATCCATCATCAACGTTCCTGGCTTCTCCAAACTTCTGAGTTCTCCACAGCACCTTTAACTTCACATTTGCAGCTTCACACACTGCTGCTTCAGGGTCACACTGTCTACCTCCCAAACTTCCTTCTGAAATCTGAGTGGAAACCTCCCTGACCCTACAGCTCTTGCATTCTGCATGCACCTAAAACCAGCACTACGTGGATGACACCAAGGTCTGCTGCCAGGTGGAGAAGTAGCCAGATTTTCTTCTCTCTTAGCTGTAGGGGTTTAGTGCCTATGAAGCAAATCCTGAGGAGCAACTTCCCTAGGCCACAGCCATTCTGGTACATGCTGCACTGGGGGCTCTCCTCTCAAAGCAAAATCTTTCACCTTTGCAACTCTGAGGCTGGAAATACTGGGGTCCTGTTTGTTCTTGTGTTGTCCTGAGACCATCTTTTTATGTTGTCTTCTTCTGAAAAACTCAGCTTTTTATTGCTAGTCTTTTCAGTAACCGATTTCTCATCTGTTCTGTCTTTGCAGGCTGCAACTTCACTGAAGCTTCCTTTCTGGCCAACCTCAAAACATTTTGAATCATTCTGCTAGGTTCTTGATTGTTGGTTCTCAACATAAATCTGGCTAAAAGCCCCAACAGTAGCTATGCCACCACCTCAGCACTGGACTGCCTTGAAATTTCTTTTGCCAGATTGATTTGTCTGCCACCCTTAATCTCAGTCTCAGGCAAAGTCTCTGAATATGATCAAAATATAGACAAACTTTCTGCCAAGGTACAACACATGTTGTGTGGAGTCCAACAGCCAATGCAAGAAGAAATCTCTTGAGCCCAGTGTTTACTGACAGAATTTCTATCAGCCTTCTTGTCTTCTGTACTAGTACTTGCCCATCAAGTACAACCAAAGGCATTCCAACTCCACTTTTTCAGCCAGTATCTCCAAATCTTTCCTAACTCTTCCCCTTCCCACAACCCAGTCCCAATGCTCTCAAGCCACATGGCTAGGTGATTTCATAGCAATGACCTCACTTCTCTGGTGCCAAACTCTGTCTTAGTTACTTTTCTTATTGCTGAGACAAAATACCTGACACTCAAAGTTAGAAGAGGAAAGATTTAATTGGCTCACAGGTAGTGGGGGTTTCCATCCATCATTGACTGGATCCAAGGCAGGGTGGTATCACAGAGGAGAAATGTAATGTCAGAATTCAGGTTGTATTCCACAAGAGACTGAGTCTATTGAGAACAAAACCAGAGTTTACTTAATTTTGAGGCTAGCCACCCTTCCTCCCATTTGCCAATCAGGGAAGTGGGCAAGTGGGCCTGCCTTTGTCCCACCTTATATACATTTTTGGTTTCCATGGTAACAGATTGGAATGTTGTAGCACTGGCCACACATTGTTTTCCTTGTGCCACGAGGCCAGATCAGGCTCCAGACATGAGCCCAAACACAATGATATATACTTTCTGTACTCTGTTCTAGATGTTCCCCTTTAGATTTCCTTTATGGTTACAATGTTTATCTAGGGCCAGGGAATGGATGAAACAACCCAGGCAGGGTCACAGGTGTTCTTTGTCCTTGGAGAAGCATTCCAGGGCTAAGTCAGGACTGCAAAGTTAACTTTTCACAACCCCTCAGGGATGTTTCTCAAGACACATTTTGAGGCTTACATTAAGACTAGAATTATTCTATCTTAAAATGATGTGCTAAGAGTTGCCATCCCCTACATTCCCCCATCTATGACATATTTTTCTTTCTAAGAAATGCAAAGTGTGTCATGTGATGGCAGCCTGGGCTCCAAAAATGGGGGCTTTTTATCTTACATATCGGAACAATGAATGCCATAGCTTGTTGGGCACAAGGAAGGTGTAGGGAAACAAGTGCGGCCTGGCTAATTCCAATAGAGTCCATCCAAGTGCTCTCCAGCGTGTAGTTGCAGAGGTGTTCTCTTTGTTCAGTCAGGCCGGAGGTCTTTCCTACTGTTGCAGCTGAAGTGTGACTAGCATTGTCAGAACAGAAGTAGAAGACACAACCAGGTTAATAGAATCAGTCCATTGTAGAATCCATGATGGGTCTGTTGGCAGCAGACTTTACCATGGGTTTGAATATCTCTCTTTTCATGGCACCATGTTCCATGATAGCATCCCTAAGGATGTTTTATGACCTGTTAATACACACAAACATAGCCTTGTCCCCATGTTACTAATTGTACTGGAACACCTTGTTATTGTTATTATTATTATTGTTATCATTTATCATTTATCTAATATCTTGTAGTTATGCTTTTCTGTGGGGTGTTCAAGACCAAGTTAAAGTGAGACCTGTATTAATTAAAATGAACTTCTTCCCATCAAGGCCAGTTAACTGTCCTCAGGATTTACCTTGGAACCATGTGCAGTGCCTCATAGTACTTCTGTCAGTGCCAGCCATCTGGATGAGTCACAGCCATTGCTTGTCCAAGTTGCTTTCTCTGAAAGCTTGGGAAACTTTTTTCTCCTGGTGACTCTCCTTAGGCACATTATACAATGTACAATCACTTTCCTCTGTGGTCCCATAAACTCCTTAATCAGAAAATCAGGGACTCAACCAAGTTGCGTGATGTAGCAGCAGAGGTTCTCTTATGTCCTGAGTCCTATTTGACCTTGGAGAGCTTTGGCCAAAATATTGGTGTCCTCTTAGCCTGATTCATCTCTCTAATTTTTGGTCTCCAAACCTCAGTTGTTAAATACCCAGCAGAAAAGATTAATGACATTACATTGTAATACGAGAGCAGTGAACTTAATTATTAAAATTTTATCTGAGTATTAAGCACCTTGAAATATAAAGTATTGCCAGAGAACTATTATTTCTTACCAATCATGGATGTTCTAGTAGTTGAATCCCTGCAGAATATTAACAGACAACAGTTATATAGTTTTACAAAGAAAAATTGAAATCAAAAGTCATATACAGTATTGTAGCGTAACAGAAATGGTGACATTTTTGAAAAACATTTAAATGTGTAACATTCAAACACATTTTTAAAAACAATAAAATCACATTTAAATATTGGAATAGATTAGCCCTTTCAGTCAATCATCCCTATCTAATACATAAGAAGCTTTTATCTAATTTGTTTTCTTCCAAAGGATGTCATTGAGGAAATTTGTAACATTCGGCTGTTTAACATCTAATCATCTCCAAATGTAGTGGCATATATATAGCATATATATCCAAAAATGCTTGTTAAAAAAAGTTATCCAAATATGACCCATGAACCTTTTATTACAAATATCTGGATCACAAGAGAAAAGGCAGGTGTCCAACATTATATAAACAATTTCAATTTCACATTTAGAATACTGTACTTTTT